TGCACACAGAGTTGATGCCAGCCTTCCCAGGGGGCTGCCAGATCCCACCAGCAGCATTCCTCATCGCTCCGCTCCCTCCCAGGTCCAAGTGCCAGGAAGGCCCCACGCTGCCCTCCAGGAACCTCACTGCACAGCAAGGGGGCTGCCTGCACTTGCACCATGGGAAGCCCCCGTTAGTGAAGGCTCCTCGCCATGGCTCCCCAACACCCCACACGTAAGGCCAAATGAACACGGTGATCTTAGGATCGAAGACAAACACCCAAACGAACCTGAAGAGAGCTGCAGCAGATCCTGCAGGATGCAGGCAGGGATACCACGGGACGGCAGGTGGTGACACCAGCTATATGGGGAGCTCCCATACCATCCCAGAGCAAGGCTGGTGTTATCCTAGAGGATACTGCACCCAGAGACGTGTTATCCTCTAAGGTTTGCTCCTTCTCTGTGCCTCCTTTGGCAAGAACAGGAGCAAGGTGCTTTTCTGGTCCTTTAAAATGGTTTTTAATTTAATTTTATTTATTTTACATAGCTGACATCTTGACCTTGACTATTAGCTACTTGGAACAGATATCATCTATTGCTATGCATATTCATGATAGCCACAATCTCTGCTGACACAGTCACCTTCAGAGCTACAAGGATGAATTACCACAACCTGCAATAACGTCGGGCTCCCACTTTCTGCCTGCTGAGGCACCAGAACAAATTCAAAGCCAACAGGGCCCTCTTCCATATTAGCAATGGGGTTTGCCCTCTGACTCTCAAACAAACATAAAAGAAAAACCCTCATGCATTTCTTTTGATCTTCTGGAGGAAAAATAAACTGAAAGTTGAATTTTCAGTATAACAGTGTTCATTCTAAAGAATGATGTAAATCTTTAGCTCCTCAAAAAAGTGTTTATAGAAAAAAATCTATTAGTTTCCCTTAAATTCCTTATGCAAATTTAGCCATCAAATTCCGTCTTCATCTAGACTCTACCTATAGGCAAAACTCTCCTTTTGCTTGCAGCTAGTACTGAAAGTGTGTTTTGATTTGGAAGCCTTCATTTGCCTCTAAGCTCTTGGGCGAGCAGGAAAGCCATGTCTCAAAAGAAAGAACCACCCAAACCCCTAATGCCTTCAGAGCAAAATCTAACAACAAACCTCCAGACCACATCACAAAAGAGGATGTTTCAGTAATGGCTTCTTGAAGGAAAGGTAGCTTAGCTTAGCCAATAATTGATAAATCCATACAGCTGGCATGGACGAGGCTGAAGGGGGGCTCCTGAAGACAAAGGTCTCTTGCTCCTCCATGCACACTTCACTTGGGCCAAAAGAAAGGCTATAAGAAAGTGATCTGAGGCATTGCCTGGAACAACACGTCACTGCTCAGCACATACGGGGGAACCAGCCACGTGGATTTGGAGCAGTCAGAAGATAGCAGCTCTGGCCTATGGAGCTTCTTGCAGCCTTCCTTGCCCCTCACCCCACAAATGATGCACACATTTCTATGTAAGATTACATATCTGGTTATCCCCCATTATCTCTCCCTGATCCTTTTTGTTCTGCCACCTCACACCTGCCCCGTGCACCCCCCACACCAGTTCCCCTTCTCCAAGCGGAAGGACCCAGCAGGTCATGGAGAAGGCCAGAGGGTCTCTCCCATGCCGCACATCAAATCCCACCATTTCCTTGCCAGCAAGCAGACGTTCCCTCTCCAGACAGCACGCAACAAAACTAAGAACTCCCTTCAGATGCTTTCCAATCAACCCAGCTGCCGGTGGCTGTGAGAGGAAGGAATGGGGCAGCCAGACCAGGTCGGAGGGGATCCCAGCATGGCGAGATGCCAGCCCTTGCTCCTCCAGGCTGAGCAGAGCGCTGCTATTTTAAAAGCTGCCTAGAGGTGGAGTCTCCCCAAAACACAAACCATTTCCGAACCTCCTTCCTGTGCCTGGGTGGGCGATTTTCAGTCGCAGGCTCACTGCGGCAGCAGTATTTTGCTTGCAACCCAATACACCAAAATGTTAATAGGGTGCCTGAAGAGACATTTTAGTTGTGAGCAGCATGCTGTCTTTCCTAGCTGAAAGCACACCAGGGCACCCATAAAAGTAATATAATCTCAGGAGCAGAAGGAGCGCTGCTGGAAGGATCGGTTAGGGCCGGGCAGATTCGTGCTGTATTTTCTCAGGAAAATCCCCAGGATGACGGTGCAAGAACTACCGAGCTGGCTGCTGGGCTCAACAAACCTCACCTGGGTCTCCCGGGTCTCCTCCGCTCTCCCAGGCACTTCTCGGATTCTGCTCAGCACCACCTAAGACCTGGGAGGCTGCGTCCAGCCTGATTATTATTATGTCTACCATTTTAACCATATGTCCATTCTCTTTAAAGCACAGCTTTGGGAATCCAAGGCCTGCGTTCAGTTCTGGTCCTGAGACTATCTTTCCGTATAACCTTGGGCAGGAAATTAAGTATCTGTGAACTCCAATTCCCCTCCTGCAAAAACGGGGAGCATAGTGCTTTATCTGTTCAGCAGTACGACTGTCAGCTCAGCGAACCAGAGCCTGGACAGAGTCGGACACACTGGACAGATGTGCATATACCAAATAAATGATGGTGTGACCCTCTAAATGTCACTGCCATGCAAGTGAACATTATTCTTCGGGGGCATCAGATGGATGTTATAGCCCATCCAGCCTCTGCTTAGTCTAAACATTTTGTATGCTTGCCTGTACACTCACCATTTATGTGCTCTCTTTTACAGTCTCCATAAAAGCAAGCAGAAAGAATATCCTGCCTTGTTAATACATTCAAACAAACCCATTAAGATATCTCTAGCTGCAATCTAAAACCAAGGGAACAGGCTGACAGCGCAGTGCTGCTGTGTTCTCTGACGTCCAGACCTCCTGTGCCATGCTTTCCCCTGTGAGACCTATTGCAAGAACAAGAGTATTAGTTATGGTCACCTAGCAATATAGCTAGGTCTTTGGGGAATCTGCAGCCTGCCTATCATGTGGAGCTCTAGCCTGGAGCATCTGTTAATCCACCCATGCTGATCAGCAGAGTGTAAGGGAAGCTTGCACGTAGGGAATGGAGGGCAGTTTAGCCCCAGAGGTTGAGTGCTTCCATTCTGGATGAATCAGTTCACTCCCTATAAAAACAGCTACACGTACAAAACCTAAATTCTGGCCAGGGAAAGCTCTGAACTTTACAGCAGTATAAATAAAGGAGGATAAAAATGAAAGCATTTGTCCGCAGCAGAAGTGCCAGACTCCATCAGACAAGATTTAGTTCCCCAGGAGCATTAAACCATGCTCTTGCTTACGCCATCCGTCGTCACTCTGCCATACTCAAACGCTGTTTCTGAGAGAAACCATGATGTGCCTCCAGTGCCTTCTGAACTTGCTGTGGCCTGTTTCAGACAAGATGGATGGGCTATAAGGACCCCACAAAATTAGTTGAGAAAATTGCAGGGCCTGACCTGGTCAGACTCCCAGCTGCAGAGCTCACATCTCCACTGAGGACAGCAGAGTTACTCCAGTTTACATCAGCTCAGAATCTGAATCAGATCTGCATTCTTCTGCTCTCAGATCATACCATTTGGATGGGATCTTACAACAGGAACGCAAACAGCTCAGGTCACTAAAACCTCGAAACAAACATCCCCTGTCCCATGGCAGAGAAAGTATTTATGTTCTGCAGCATTTGGGGTGGCTCACGAGCATCAGCAGGGAACCGAAGCCCCTATGTCTAGACAAGGTGAATAAATCTGCAGCCTGTCAAGTTGCTAAGGAAAAAAAAAAAAAAGGCTTATTTGTTTTCTGTATGAATAAAGTTCATTTTAACTGTTGTTCCACTAGGCTGCAAGTCTGCAAAGTGTGGAGAATTCTTGCAATGGGAGCAGAGGGTATTCAGCAGGCCCCAAAGCTGTACTTCTGCAGTTAACAAAAACTCAGTGTTCTGTGCAAACCTTATTTGACTGTAAGTTGAGCTTCTTAATTGAGAAGCCACTTTTTTCCTGATTAAGAGAACCTCAGATGTCAGCTTTTGAGCCTTCATTCTGAATGACAGCTTGCCCCACTTCCATCGGAAATCCAGTCCAGGTGCCGTACTGCCTCTGCTCTGCATTAAACCCGTGGGCTGAAGTGATAAGGGGCTCACAGGGAGGACAGCCAGGGAAGATTCAGGTTTCAGCACTACCTATTTCCAAGCTTTGCCCTAGCTCTGTAACCAAGTGCACCTCAAAGTGTTCCTGGCTCTTCTCACTGATGAGCAATGCTCACCCAAGTCCATCCCAGCAAACTCCTTCCTCCAGGTACTGTGAACCAGAAGCACAAACATCCACAACCTCCAGTTAAGGAACCTGTTCACTCACCTCTCAAATATACTTTTTACATAATTGTTATGAACTGCTACTAACAGGTAGCCAAATATTATACCACTGAAAACAACTCCTAGCCTAGACCACACATCTTTCAGAGCAGCAGTGATAGCAACAAGAAATAATACCAAAGACATCACGATCTCAGCATTCTGCAGAATCTAACACATTTTAAGTGCTCATATTGCTAGCAAATGAACTGCTTAGTTTGGTCACTCATTTGGGTTTGGTGGGAAAAGGGCTGGTAAGGGAGGTGCATCACCAACTGAATCAAGACCTGCAAACTAAACAGCCCACACGGATTTGCTCCTTCTCTTCATATTCATTCCAATCCTCTGCTAGAGGTGTGAATCCAGGAGAGCAGGTGAGTAGGAGAGGCACGCAGAGTTACTGTCCTCTCCCAATCAATGATGATGGAAAGCTCTCCACTGTGTCCCAGTAATGGCTAGAGAAGGACTTGTCTCAGACCATTTATGAGATGGGACCAAAATTTGTGTGGTTAAAACACTGTGGAACTCATTACTTGTGTTGAAGTGCTCTCTGAGCAACATTGCTGTGCACTATGCTCTGTAAATAGCCAGGCCTTTCTTGTGCTTCACATTGGCTAGAGATACATTCCAGCCTTCCAGTTCACTGTATGAAGTCATTTTAGCTTTCTCCAGTGGAAGCCAATGCATTTTCAACAACCAAACAGTAAGAGGTCTCTTTTCTTTCTGCCATTGTTACTAGCAATGACAAGGACTTCCAGCTCTCCAGCAAAGCTGCTCCAGGTTGGACCCTCCAGCACTATACACAGGACCAGGTCACTGCCTTCAACAAACCATAACTAGATTACACCAGCGTGGGCTTTGGCCCTATGTATCCAAGCCCACTTCAGCTCCCTGCCACATGCTCACTTATCATTAACTCAGCTGAGCTGTGGCCTCACTGTTTGCTGATTTTTCTTCATGTTTCATCTCTCTGACCTTCGTTGGAAGAGATGCTAACAGCTCGCCTCCTTGAGAGTCAATAGTTTTCTTTGCATCAAAGTAAGAAGCAAGGTCGAGATCCAGCTGCTAAGTGATACTTTTAAAACAAAAGCTTTTGGTGGAGACTAAGCTGATGTGCTGTGAGCTCTTCTTTGGGGATAGGTCAGAGGAGTGGACTGAGAATGGGTCCTCACACCTTCTGCTCTTAACAGGCTGCTCTGGTGACAAAAAAGAAATTGCTTGATGAAAGAGATTGTGGGGCTGATCACAGAGGGCACACGGGCAAGCTGCTGTTCACAGGAACTGATCCAAGACAAGCATTCATTTATTCAGAGACTAAACATAAGCACTTCACTTTTGCATGAAAAAAAGTCCACAAGTGACACAGAGGTTGTCACAATGCTGTTTTTTGGCACTTTGACAAGGCTGCAAAGGGATGCAGCCTCAGAAAGCCTAGGAGGGGCAGGACACCTTAAGGTAGCCTGTGAAGAGTCCTACAGATTGCTGGTTTCCAATGTGGTTAAGATACAGGTGGGTGATTTGGATTAAGTCACACATAGACATAAGATGTGGCCATGTTACACTGTCAGGGACTTTAGTCAGTTCATTGTGCTTTAGAACAAGTACAAAAGCCAACAAAGAAACAACAAAAAAAAAAACAACAAGTAGAAATACCTTGACTATGAGAAGAGCAGCATAGCCATGCACAGATCCCAGCTTCCTTTCTCAAACCCCTTTCTGAGCAAGCAGCATGGCATGGTGTTGTGTGGCTGCTTGGGGTTCCTCGGGAAGCACTCATGGGACCTTAACAAGGCACCAGCCTGGGGACCTGCTGGGGAGCACACACAAGACATCCTTGTTAGCACACCTCTGCTCCTGATGCTATCTGCTCCTTTGACATATCCAACAGCTGCAGCTCGTGTGGGGCTGAAGCATCCTTCCCTTTCTCCACCAGTGTTTTGATATCTCCTCAGGTGCAGAGATGCCTCCTGTTCCCTCCAGCCTTGGAAACAAGCAGGATAACTTCACTGGGGCAACTATGGAGAATAAAGCAAAAGGGATTTTGGCCCCTTTGTGGAGGGGTGAGCAGCTCATCTTTCATCAAATCTCTATCTTTTTTGTTGGTCCACAGCCTCAACTTTAAATGTTGCCTCCTGAGCCGCTGCTGAAAGCCAGCTGTCTACCATTTATATTGTTAATTCATTAAAACCAGTTCTTTATCCTCTCAGGAAATCACGGCAGTCCTGCTTACTGGCAGACAATAACATTCGAGGGCTTGCTGCTGCAATCGCTGACAATATCAATTATTTAGTTTTCTGCCAATTCCTATTAGACTTTTCAGGCTAGAGAATTTACACTGTGTTATTGAATTAAAAAACAGCTAAAAGCTTTAGGGAATCCAAACTAATTAGCCGGCATTTGTAAACCCCTTTGTTCATGGTAATTTGTTTACAAGAGTAGCTCAACCTTTTAATTATGGGCACACTCACAGGCCACGTACTGCACCATTACAGGCAGGATTTTTTGTCTGGTGCAAGAAGGGCAAATATGGGGAAGCTAATTTTGCTTTAATGAGCTGTGATGACCCTGCTTGGCACTGGATGACCTAAAATACAAGTGTGTCTATAATTATAACCAAGAAAAAATAACACTCCAGATGCTTTGAGTGGGCCAGAAATCACCAGCATCCAGTTGTATCAGCACTACAGCTCCACAGCCCTGACTCAAATTCAGCCTTTTTCTGTAGATCTCATCTCAGGATACCTCTTCACCCTCTTGCCTGTTCCCAACTATTTGTACCATCCTTCTGCTTCAGGCTTGAAAGATGAATGGCTGAATTATTATGGAACAGGAGACATCCTCAAGTGCAATGACAATCCTGTTGTGCCAATTCGTACTTATCTCTGCGGCAGCAGGCAGCCTTCTCTGCGCTGTAATAATGCGTCCTTGCAATCCATGGCCCTGCCCTACCAGTGACTGCAGGGGCAGGAGACTTACAGGTCCATTCCCTTTACATGAGTACAAGGTTTTAATTTTGGAATAAATTCTGCTGTTCTTATTGCCAGAGGATTTTTAGTCCATCAAGTAGGAAACCATCACAAGCCATTTGGGTTCCACTTTGATTGCTTTACCAGACTGAATTATTGGGCAGAACTGTTCCCTGGGAACTGGGCAGAAGTGTCTGGGCTGAGATCCCAGGAGTAGGAGGTTTCCTGCCTGCAGTCTGTGACCATCTCTCTTTCTGCAGCAACACATGGACACGTAAATAAAGTAGCCAGAGAATGCTTCCCAGCTGCATCTGGTTTCCTCAGTGAAAAATTGATGCACAAGGCTCCTGAGCAGACCTAGTCAAAATTGACAGTGAAAATCTTGACATTTGCCTTGACATTGAATAGGAATTCTCAGTATGTTTATTTCTGGAGGAAGGGATGACAAGAGAAGGGAAAGAAGACAAAGTGAGATGTCTCTCCATGTGGGAATATGCAGCAGATTATAGGGAGACGTAAAATGTGAAGACTGCAATGAATTTCCCAGTTCATTTTGAAAAGTTCCAAGGAACTTGTTCATATAAAATCAATGCCTACATTTTTTAAAAGGGTATCAAACAATTATTTTGGAAAAAAAAAAAAAAAGAAAAAAAGAAAGAAAATGCTTAAGAAAATGCTGAGCCTAATCTAATATGCTGAATACGGACTGATACAGCCTTAGCCCATGGACTCAATACGAGTGAAAAGCCATCTTCCCACTTAGTCCCGGTGATGAATACAACCCTACGGCAACTTCAGCAGCTCAGGTGATTCAAACAGTCACAGGCAGCGTATTGCACAGGTGGGCACCCTGTGGACAGCATAGTCTAACCAGGGGACAGATCAGACCGTTGTTTCTTTTCCAGTCTCTGGCACTGATGTGTTGGGCATTTGATCAAGTTACTTTTCTCCTCTATTATTCTGTTTTCCAACCTGAATAGTCTTCCCATTTCATTTTCCATCCTACATCTTTTAGGCACTTGGATGTCTGCACAGTATATAACAAGGTCTCAGTGTGTCATCTGACAACGTTTCATTTAGCTTTGCTTTAAGGCCAGCTGAACATTACGTTTCAGTAGGGCAGCTGATTTAATCTCTTTGGGAATTTTGTTATGAGGTTCAAATAGCATCAATAAAAATGGAGATGGGCACAAGTGTCCCTCAAACATCCAGGTCTTCTGGACCACATTTAGTTAAAATATCATTAACTGTGCAGCATGTTTGACAAGAATGTATGACAGCACTAGCCATATGGAAAGCATAAATATTAAATACTGTATATTGCAGCCATTTGCAAGAAACTGCATTAATCCCTTGAAGGTTAATGAGAATTATTCATGTGCATCTGAGGGAGAGAAGTACTTCACTTTAGAAATTGAAAAGCTTGACATGCCTGATTTTTCACTTACCAATAAATATGAATATGGAAAATGGATGGACATCTCAGCATTGTGCCTGAACGAGAGGCTCACTGAACAACTCTGAGGTTTGTTTTTTCAGATCAATATTTTACATCATTAATATTTTCAGTTCCAGGAATCAGTGAAACAATAAATCTTGGCTGATCACAGACAGTTTGCCACTGTGTGGTTATTCTAGCAAGAGGGGAAACAGATGTCAAGGAGTCAAGACTAACCTGGTTTATTTAGTTAAGTCCTGGGAGTAGGAAGAAGGAATCAATACCAGCACAGGGGCTGGTTTCAGACACATGTAAAGGGAAGCATAGAAACGAGGCAGAATTATCCTTGGTAGGCAAGATCTGCAACTGACGACATGGAGACTATTGTGTTTACAATACTGAAGCATCTCCACAGAAAACATAGACAGATTTCTGCAAAGAGTTGAAGTGACTAATAATTGTGATTTCTTGCAGTAATCACTATTAAAATTATAAGAAATGTCTCTGAAACAGCTTTGTTATGGCCTGTTTTTAAATGAACCACCTGCATCAGTGGAGCTATTAAAAACTAGAAATGATAAAATTTCTGTGCATCTCTGATGAAAATAATTTGTTGTGGGTAAAATCCTCCTGCTGTTTTGCAGAAGCAATTTTTAGAGCTGGTTGAAATTCGATGATAGTCTTCTTTTAATTAAGGTGTGGTGTTTGTTTGTTTACTTTTAATAGCATTTAAAATTAAAGTACTTTGCATTCCTTTTTCTTTCACCCTGTACTTGTTTCAAAATACAGTCACCATAGGTATGCTGCACAGTTTGGCAAATTCCAGCCATTATTACCACATGGCTCATGGTGTCTAAAAAAAAATGAGCTCTAAGCTCACACCAGAGCCCGCTGCTCAGTATCTCCCCGAGGCATGAACAGCATCCTATGGAACATGGAGTTGCCTCAGCAAAAATAAAAGGAAGCCATGAGTAGAAACCACACCTTCAAGAGCCTTCAGTGTAGCTGCTGGAACAGATTTTCAGCTGATGTAAATGACGGGAGCTCCCACAACTCAAGGAGGCAGTGGAGCCAGACTGATGCACACTAGGGGAAGATTCAGCTCTGCGTGTGCTCCCCCCAGCGTTAAATGCACATGCTCCAAGCTCGCTCTGTTCAGCCAGAATCAGATAATAAAACAGGTCAGTGTAAAACAGTGTAAAAAAACAAAGAACAGCCAAAGGCACGGTTTTCACAGAAGCATATGGGGCAGTGCTGCTGGCCCCTCTCACTGAGGAGTAGGGACCATTACAGCTGCAGTTTGCCTAAACTCACAGAGTGACAGCATCACAGAATGGCTGAGGGTTGAAAGGGCCCTGGAAATCATCTGGAGATCTGCTGAGCAGGGTCACTTCATAGCACATTGTGTAGGATGGCATCCAGGTGGGTTTTGAATATCTCCAGATGAGACTCAACCTCTCTGGGCAGCCGGTCCCAGTGCTCTGTCACCCTCCCAGTACAGATGTGCCCCCTCATATTGAGCTGGAACCTCCCGTGCTTCAGTTTGTGCCCGTGCCTCTTGTCCTGTCACTGGGCACAACTGAAAAGAGACCGGCTCCAACCACTTGACGCCCTCCCCTATTTGTACACATTGATGAGGTCTCCTCTCAGTCATGTCTTCTCCAGGCTGAACAGGCCCAGCTCTCTCAGCCTCCCTTTGTAGGACAGGTGCTCCAGTCCCCAGCCATCTCAGTAGCCCTCCTCTGGACTCGCTCCAGCAGCTCCATGTCCCTGTGGTACTAGGGGAGCCCAGACCTGGGCACAATATTCTATGTGAGGCCTCACCAGGGCTGAGCAGAGGGGCAGGATCACCTCCCTCGGCCTGCTGGCAACACTGCCAAATGCAGCCCAGCATCCCCTCGGCCTTCTTGGCCACAAGGGCACGTTGCTGCCTCCCGGTCAGCCTGCTGTCCACCAGGACTCCCAGGTCCCTCTCTGCAGAGCTGCTCTCCAGCAGGTCAGCCCCCAGCCTGTACAGGTGCTTGGGGTTATTCCAGAAGAGGAATAACCCCAACAAAAGGGACTTGCCTTTGTTGAACTTCGTGAGGTTCCTCTTAGCCCATCTCTCCAGCCTGTCCAGGTCCCTCTGAATGGTAGCACAGCCCCCTGAGGTACCAGCCACTCCTCCCTGCTTTGTGTCATCAGCAGTCCTGCTGAGGGCGTGCTCTGTTCCATCATCCAGGTCACTGACGACTACACTGAACAGGGCTGGGCCCAGTACGGACTCAACCATCACCACCACCACTGGCTCCATGGCACTGGTTTGGACACAGGAAGTCTCACCAAGGGCTGCAGCAAAGGCAGCGTTGGGTTGGGGGAAGTGTATGAAATGGAGATAAATACAGCTAAACCCTGCTCAGGGGGTGTTGACAAAGCTGAGAAAAGGGACTGATGGTCAGAGAGAACTGGGGACACCCTAGAATTAGGGGCAGGGAGACGAGAGGGAGGCTGAGCCAATTGTTCAGCAGAAGGAGAACTGGCAGAGGTCAGTGCATCACACCACACTCTTGTATTGTTCTCAGATGTCTTGATTCCCAGTCCTGGTGCTTCAGAAACAAGCCCAGAGTGCCGGCAGACAGACATCCCCCTGCAGCGCAATGCGAGTGCTGCAAAGCCCCTGGGAGAAGCACTGTGCTACCGGGAGCATCC